CCCGTGTAATACCAATTTTATGAAACGAATGAATAGTTGTTTTATCTGACGAGCGGAAGCGAGTCAGATACCACAACTATTCACAAGTTTCATAAAATTGGTTTTACACGGGAGCGAGTTCAGTATTTTATTTATTACTTGCCATTTACAACGTTTTTAGAATTATACTGTTGAGTATGAATAGACTAGCTGACACCTACACGATCCACGGCATAGTCCAATTGAGTTTAACAGAATAATACTTCAAACACGTCAAAAGTTGAAAGGTATGAATTTAATACCATACAACGGTCCACCTTTAGAATTCACAAAATTATCTTATGGATAAGACTATCGCAACTCACATACTTTAACTTAGACTAACGACTGTCGTTGCGCTACAATACGATCGCCTTGTGGAACGGGCCTTGTACCTCAAACTTTACAATAACGTCACAATACCCGATGACGTAATTTGTGGAATTTTGTTGCAAGACCCATCGGCGAAACAATGCCATGTGACGTCACCCTAGCAACAAGGTTGCTGGGGTCATCGATTGTGCATAAGCTCCTCTCAGTGATCTATCAACTCCATACGCAATGTCTTTGAATAAGCCAAGCGATGTTGAGAGCTTTCGATATTTGTTCGTGAAACGTGTTCCGAGAGTACACAAGCACGCGTTTTGGTATTACAAAATGTGTAATACAGCTGTATGTTTATTAAACGGGTGATCTCTTCACGGGCAAGTAATAAATATAGAATACTAAACGAGCTCCCGTGTAATACCAATTTTATGAAACGAGTGAATAGTTGTTTTATCTGACGAGTTGAAGCGAGTCAGATACCACAACTATTCACGAGTTTCATAAAATTGGTTTTACACGGGAGCGAGTTTAGTATTTTATTTATTACTTGCCATTTATAACGTTTTTAGAATTAAACTGTTGAGTGTTAATAGGCTGACACTTACACGATCCACGGCATAAACCAATTGAGTTTAACACAATAACACTTCAAACACGTCAAAAGTTGAAACGTATGAATTTAATACCATACAACGGCCCACCTTTAGAATTCAGGCGTCCGTTCCAGAAAATTATAGTTAAGGTTATCGCAAATCACATACTTTAACTTAGACTAACGACTGTCGTTGTGCTACAGTACGATCGCCTTGTGGAACGGGGCCTTGCAGCTCAAAGTCTACAATGTAGTCACAATACCCGATGACGTAATTTGTGGAATTTTGTTGCAAGACCCATCGGCGAAACAATGCCATGTGACCACAGCCTAGCAACAAGGTTGCTGGGGTCATCGAGTGTGCATAAGCTCCTCTCAGTGATCTATCATCTCCACACGCAATGTCGTTGAATAAGCCAAGCGATGTTGAGAGCTTTCAATATTTGTTCTTGAAACGTGTTCCGAGAGAACATAAGCACTCGTTTTGGTATTACACAATGTGTAATACAGCTGTATGTTTATTAAACGGGTGATCTCTTCACGGGCAAGTAATAAAATAAAATATCGGATACCCGAGTTTATTACTTGGGAGCTCGTTTAGTATTCTATATGTAGCATTGCATCTGAGCAAAAAAAATTAACTTCTCCTAATATGTAATGATGATCCAATACAATTGTAAAGGGGAAGTTGCTGTACCCAAGACAAATGGACAAACAATACTACATACTCTACATTAAATGTGGTTGCACGCAAACGTTACTTTTCGCTAACACATGGTATCATCACTGATTTTCAGTGATCCAAATAAACTGAGGGGCAAACGAAACGCCATCAAATAAATAATGGTCGTCAGTTTTCAACACATTTGCCAAACAGCACGAAAAAATTTGGGAACACATAGCTGGAATGCAACTTACCTATTCTCTGTGAACATGTGCATGTGTTTCACGTGATTTTCGAGAAAAGAGAATTTAATCACTAAAAAATGCAAAATGTGCACAAAGTTACCCGTATGAAATTCTAGTATAAAACATGAGAAGGATTGTACTCTCTCATCACATGAAACCGTTTAAAACAACGAGCATGCCTCAACTAACCGCAGAGCAGAGGGAGAGAGACATCGGTATGTTCCAAATTGGAGCGACGCAGGAGCACGTTGTCAGGATCATGGGCTGCTTCAAGTGCACCATCGCCAACCTTGTCACACGTCACAGACAAACTGGCAGTACTGCAGACAGGCCGAGGAGTGGAAGACCCAAGGTCACGACCCCACAGGAAAACCGCTATTTACGGGTGCTTCACCTGAGGTCCAGATTCCCAAATCTCACTGCACGCCGTTACGTTGATGAGGTTTTGCGGCCTGTGATACTGCCTTTCCTGCAACGACACCCATGGACGCTTTTTCAGCAGGACAACTTGCGTCTTTCTGAACGCCAACAACGTGACCGTATTGCCAACCAGATCACCGGACCTGTCCTCCATAGAGCACCTCTAGTACCAACTTGGACGCAGGATTCGGAAACGTCAACAGCCGCCATTGACGAGAGATGCCTTGGCAAGAACCCAGCACGAAGAATGGCGTATGATCCCAAATCAGGATGCCAGGAGACTCGTGTACTCTGTTCGATGTCCTGTTGGGGCCTGCATCGTTGCTAAAGGCATCGTTGTCACATCCGATACTGAGCCATGGGTGTAGCACGGGACTTTAAAATAGATCGTCGTCGAATCTGCGGGTCTGATCGACTACTGGACAGTGCACACAGCATGATAAACCTGTCTCCAGAACTTTAAGTACATGGGGTTTTTTTATCTTGTCATTTTCAAATGCCGTTTTTGAATAATTGTTTTTCATAATAAAACATCAACTGTTAAATTTTGCGTATGTTTTTTTAGACTAGAAAACTGTTTGGTGGCGGGTTTTTTACTCGTTAGTTTATGTATGTTTCACAGCTATTTTGCCTATTACGGCCAGTGGAATTTGTTTCGGTAGATATTGGAGACTGGTTATTCTTTGTCCTTGACGTTTTATATTTATATCGTTAGTGTTGGGGAATATTCGTAATCGGTTTGATATAATCATGTTTTAAATACATTTAAACACAGATGAAGTGCCTTCGTTATTGGCCGGAGAAAGGTACAGAGACGTACGGGGACATATCTGTAACCATGGATACACAGACACGCTTCGCAAACTACACGGTCACTAAGCTTTCCGTGCAACACAATCAGGTATAATATAGCTTTGTTTCATTAAACGTTTAAATTGCCAAAATTAATAACCATTAGTGAAACATGATAAACGCTGACCAATACATTATTCTACTAACAATTTCACTCTGTACTTAGGCTGCCAAGAAGCTGTGTCTCGAGCACCTCCACTTCACAAGCTGGCCGGATCATGGCGTCCCAGACACTTTCGCTCTACTGGAGTTTATTAGCAAGGTGAAGGTCACATCCAGGGAGCAGACACAGCCAATCATAGTTCACTGCAGGTAAGAATGGAGCATAATATTTGTTTGTCGTGAATGGCGTGTGCTGTTGTGTTTTGTGTTGACTGCGCTCGCCAGCCTACAGTCCATATGAACCTGATAACCATATATAGATAAAGAATCAAATCGCCAAATATACCGCAATACATTTACACAAAGAGTGAAAATACATGGGTCACATGTTGCTTGTGGCAAAAGTTAATGGGAGTAGCGCCACAGCCGTTTTTTTAACTGGGAACGTTCATGCATAAACGCGTTGCGTTACGTCACAGCACGGTGTCAGTAATCAATGAAGGGAAATACTCCTTTTATCTGTTTTCTAGAAAGTAAGACCACAGTTGTTATCTGGTTGAGGGATTCCGGATATGCTTCTGAAGTAAAGTGTTTTTTGATGCAGGACTTAACAAATGCTCCAAGCGCAAAAGGAATGCACAGCAAACCCCTTCTTATATTTTGACAGATTGATTAAATGATGTCGAGTTTAAATATAGCTATATTAAAAAAGTTGAATACTTAATAGGGACCACAGAACATACTTCAACTAACAATATGGTGCATTACAATGTTACCAGAAGAGGTAATGGTTTCTATTACACCAGATTCCAAGATGTCTTGTGTACGTGGAGGTATAGACATACATACCAGTGTGTTCTCTGTGTGTTCACAGGTCTTTTTTCATTGAAGGCTTCTAACCAAAGTAAACAATAATACATTCACATACTGCTTATTATTTATCTTTAACTGAAAGATCAATACGATATGAGTGACATCATTCAGTGCAATAATGCAATCTAAGCTCCGCCCATCCTAACAATTGCCGATCAAGACACCATTATTTATAACACTTTGGTGTCAGGGTGATGAGTAATGGCAATGAGCTCACCCATTCCATAAACCCAAGAATTACTCATGTCACTATTCGGTGATTACCAACAGTTAAGTATAATTGTCCGTCAGTGTATATGGGTGAACCAGACGAGAACAGAGAGGTCTATGCACAACGGTCAGAAAGAACAGAAGTGAAAGACAATATACGAAATCTATGACAATAAGAACACGACAGGGCGTTGTGTTAAAGGAGTATCTTGTAATGAAGGTATTGATGTACAAGTGGTATTTCCAGCTGATAATTATTTCAATATCTTTCTGTTTTTAAAACAACTCCAGTGCCGGTATAGGCCGTACAGGGACCTACATCGCTATCGAGGGTCTCATGGAGCAGGCCAAGACAGAGGCCGTGGTTGACGTTGTCAGCGTCGTCTCCAGCATGAGGAGACAGAGGACGAACATGATCCAGACAAAGGTAGGCACATCTTCATCTGGAGTGAGTGAGTGAATGTCGTGTAACGCCGCATCTATATTACAGCTTGTCATAACAGTCTGGGCCGGGCAATCAGTCCAATTTAGTCGCGTCTCATACAGTAGAGTGTTGTGCATCTGTTCTAACCCAGTTCTCCACAGGGGCAAACGTCATGGATAGAAGTCATTAAATTAAATCAAGATTGGGTAATCATTCGTTGCTGCTGCTGATTTTGTAAACCATGTCACTCTATCATACATACAGGAGCAGTATCTGTTCATCTACCAAGCGATGGCGATGTGGTTGTCGCAGGGGGACACGTCTTTGGATTCAAACTTCCTCAAAAGGTTGAACCTTGATGATTTGGCTGACGTGACCATGGGAAACAAGACCGTTCAACAGCATCTTGAGGTAGGTACATATGAAACGTTGTGGTTCTGCAAAATAGATGGAAGTTCTTAAAATTGATAAATTTACTGACACTTGTGCGACGTTTCGTGAATACATCAACAAGTCGTGTAAGAGTGACTATTGTTTATTACCACACGTCATTTGAAATTTGTATTTGTTGTAGGCGCTCCAAGCTCGCCCACCCAGTAAGTAGAATAGAATATTACATGTATTTATAAGGAATATCATTTGTGGATGTCAACTTCTTTATTATGAGGAACACAACGCAAATGGATGGCATTTGGGTAATAAGCACTGATAGGTAATAGAATGGAAATGACAATGGACAAATTGGAGCCAGCTGGATAATGTGCCCCGACAATGGTCAAAGCAATAAATATAGGTTCCCTGGTCACGGTTCATGGCTGGCTGGTGTCCCCTGATGTCAATGGCTTCTTGTAGTTTTCTTGTTGCCAGTTGTTGTTCATGGTAGACATTTTGGTGGCTTCCCGCACAATGTTATGGCCTTGGCTCTTGAGGTTGTATTCGGAAATAGCGGATTTCAGGTTTAGTTTGTTGGCAGAGGTCTGATGTTCTTTTGGTCGGGTGTTGAGGGGTCTGAGGGTTTCTTCAATGTATTAGTCCCACAGTTATGAAGATAATCGATGTGATGTTGATATGTCCTCATTTAGTTGCATACTGTTATTTGACCTACTTACTATCCTATAATTTTCACACAAAGACATCTGCACAACTGTAACATTGTGATCACTGACATCAATTAAAGAGAGAATGTTTCAGCATGTGTGCTTTAGTTAATGAGTGAGTGCTGACAAACCAAGAACATCACCAGGGTGAATCTGTACTGAACTTACGGTCATAGGTTTCTGGCACGCCTAAAGGGAAGCAACTCTGAAAAAACGACTTAGACGAATGGGCCCTTCGTGCCCCCATTAATATTGAACGAGAAAAAAGGTGAGCATATATGGCAGCACCAGCCTAAAATACTGCTGTCAGTAGGTGCTGCAAAGATCGACCTCACTCTGGGACGAAACAATGCATACGCATATCACATAATACAAACCTTCTTACAAACACTTTTTGTTTTGTAGTTGTCAGCGAAATAGTCGAATGAATCATTGGAATAACCCTGCCAATTGAATAGAAACTGGTCAAAGTTCAAGGCAACTTGGACAAAGGTCAGGATCGCCAAGACTGGTTTAAAGAGACCATTTGACCTTATTAAAGACATCAAGTCTTGACATTGTGTATTTGGCAGTTATCTTACCTTCTCCCTGTTCTTCCAACTTTCTTGTCTGTTCAGTCCCTTCCTGCTGATGATACACTCTGAATAATTAGATCAGTTTGATCAATGGTTTGAAGATGACGGACATATGTTTCTCTCTACAAGTATTCCTACGCGCCGGCCTACATTGTTACGTTTGCTCACGTGACAGAAACTCTCGTGAGTTTATGTCGTGGCCAGTGTCTTGGCCCGTCGTTTAACATCTCCTCAGAAACCACTGGACCAACGAAGCTGAACCTTCATATACTTGTTTTCACCAATTTTTTCAAGAGATACAAATCCGATGTTCAGCATTCCTTGTCCAAATGCGATAAATTATGTACATGTGTAGGTTGTAGTTGGGATCACCATGTATGTTCCGTTTTTATATTGTAAGTTTTGACCTTAATTTGACCTTTTCACTTTGACAACACTCAAAGCTGAAACTTGTTATGACCATGACACTGTTCTGTTCAACATGTAATCAACTTTCGTGTATCTGTACCAAGTAGTGGGGTCTTTCTTTTTGCGATATTTTAAATGTTGAACATAATATAATATCCTCTTGATTTTGTTTATATCGAAAGATGACCTCACACAACGATTCCATTGAATATCGCAAAACATTGATCGCTGAATCGTTACATAGGCATGTGTCATATGAAATGCATTACAAGGGAACTCGTGAATGGGACATGTCTGTCCTGTAAAATAAGTAATCAGATGAACCACGTGTGGTCAAAAGATGCGAAACTAGTTTGTCACAAACATTACTTCTATAATCGGGTCTTCAATGTATCTGACGAATGCACTTTGACTTATGTGTTATCTAGTGGACAGTGAGCGGAACTCCATCGCAACAGTGCCTGTAAGTACAAAAGCCCATGCGTTCAATTTCATAGGGTGCATGCATACACATTTAACATCAATTTAAAACAATATGACAAATAATAAACGACTCATGTTTTCTGCGTTCGTGTTCAGTTAAATTCCATGGCAGCTTGCAGCCTATATACTAATCTCCTGTTTTTTTAGTCTTATACATGGAACAATGGTTTCTACATCATGAGTTCATGTCCCAACAAAGAAGATATTTGGAACGCGGTGTATAACACTGATTCTCGCACACTCATCACGTGGGGTCAAGAGAACCAGGTTAGCGACGACAATCTACAAAACATTTGCTTTACAAACGTATGCATCGTCTTTCTGCATAAACCATTCGAGTCACAACAGTACCAATATTGTTGACGTTTGCGTTTCTAAAACTTCCTTGCTTGAAACATGAGGTATTTATCTTAATAGGCGCACCTTCCGTCATTAGACCAGGACGTTACAACATCCAGGTTCACAGCCAGCATGCGCAGTGAGGCTGTGCTGTCAGATGGTATCTCAGTCACCACTATTGATCTTGGATTAAAGGTAAGTGTGTGTGTGTGTTGGGGGGGGGGGGGGGGGATCTACTGCCGCATGGTATCTTAGGTGGCCAGAACCATTACACCGGTATTAGTCCAGACAAGCAGACACTCGCTCACTCTCACACTCAGATACATATGCATGCACTGCTATATACATACAATGAACCTAATTTCATCCCACCTCTTTTGCGGTAACCACATTCCAAGTCGATATATTCTGATTTGTCCATGTTCTCACCGAGATACTGAATCTTGTTGATCCTGTCAGGACGGAACAGCCCTCCTCCAACTGAGAACGAGCCTGGTATATCAGGAATATATTATTTCTAGATTGCCTGAGTACCACTACATTTAACAATACACACAGGGGCCAGGGTAATATTGTGAAACCAGTTTATTCATTTTGCTAGCACGAAGAGAAATATCTACTTGTATGTGGGAAATTCATCTCGACGATTGTTGATTCAGTACCATACCATCTTTGTTGTTTACATGGCAAACATATATGACTTTGCCTCCAACAATATCTCAATAAACTGATTTATCCTTAACAGCCAGTAACACACACCACTCACTCTCTCTTCTACCTGTAGACCCTGTGGTAAGTTTGTAGTAAAAGGTGACTAAAATCGATCGGATGATGAGACTCGCTGACTTGATTGATTGTGTATCATCATACCCGCCAGCATGGGACCTGGCTTATTATATCAACCACTGGGTTGTCCGAGTCAGACTCGGCTAGCTACATGTTGCTAAGGTACCGCTGGAATATAGCATTCACTCACTATGTCCTGAAGGTTCTGTCGGTATAAATTCCAATATAGTTAATTGACGGATTTTTTTCAATTGATTACGTTGAAATAATTTGAGGACTGATTCATGTGTGAAGTTTGGTGACATAATCACTGATCTTTCCATTGCACAGGATGATGCCACCACCACCACCACGATCCACAACTACCACCTGACTGGGAGTGTGCGTGATCCAGGTGTCGCTGTGCTGATAGACAACTTGCTCACATGGACACAGGATCCAGAACGTGGCTCCAGTATGATTGTATCCAGGTATGTAGGTTTCGTTCTCCACACTTTTCCCGTTATCTCATCACACACCTACTGGTGTCTGCCATGTCAGCTCTGACCTCGGTCCAAGCTAATGTCTCTGTGTTCTGGTACGAATTCTGCGTCCAGCTAATCATTGTTGTAATATACCTGTACTCCACCACTAATATTGGCTCCAGCTAATGTTATCATATCTCTGTGATGTCCCCAGGACTGCAACAGAATCCTTGCTCCTGGTGCTGCTTGTGAACATCGCCAGCAGACTGAAGGACGACGGGACTGTTGACCTCATCACTGATATGGGGAGACTGTGTGCTCGTCATGGAGGTGCACCCTTTACAATGGTAGGTCGCAATGGTTGTGGCATGAACTATAGAATGAAAAGCACTTTTTACAAAACTACACAAAAATGAGAACTGTGTCACAAGTTGATGTTATGAGTAAAGTAATTCTGTAAACGGCATACTGATCGATCTCTCCGCATATACAGGCAGTTCGTGAAACGAGACATTTTTAAAACAAAATTGCAGTATGAATAATCTTGGTTGATAGAAATTAACTTTTTATTTTCATATCGAGGAACATTTATAAAAAGGTCAGGACAGGATTACATGCAAGCTGTGTAGAAATGCGATAGTCACGTAAACTGGTGAAACTAGTGAATCTAGTTCAACTTATCTCAATTCTGGCGAGACTACCTCTGAGATGGATGTCAGTCGAATGGTGGAACGGCTCTGACATCATCTGACTATTACTTGTGGCATAACATGCTTTCAACCTGATTTGTTTAGGCTAGCCTAGTGTTGTAATCCACAGTCGAACCAGCTCATGTCAGTGTTGTCTTTTCAGGATGACGTCCGTTTCTGTCTGGAGTTTTCTCGACAGTTCCTGGAGACTGTCGGAACTTACGCCAACATCTGATGAATGGACCGCTGAACATATTCGATATTTTTTTCTTTAATTCCTTAGTTTTATGATACTGTTTCTAGAATTGTGTTTGTGTAATTTTGCAGTACATAAATCGGGCAGATGTCCCATTACTTGTTAGAATGACTTGTTCCCCACTTCCTGTCTCGTTGTCATGGTTTCTTATGTTCAAACCGTATGTGTATTGACCGATACAAATCTCCTCTATATCATCCCGAAGGGGAGAATGATCGTGTGTGGGTTTCATGATGATACACATGCACTTTTCTAACAATGCTAACATAAATACGGTTAATGATGTCATGCTGGTCGAGAAGGTCAGGAGTATGTGTAAACAAGTCAAGTTTGACATTATCATTCTACTTCCGGCCGGAGTTGGAGGGAAATAATATTGACAATTATTTTATTATCTTTTATGTCCGTTTCAGTTACTTTTGTCAGCTTTAGCTTCACGTTAAATTGACGGTTAAGTGACGGATACCCCGCACGCTGCCCATTTCTTAATTCTGTCACCATAATGTGAGGATCGCCGGTTTGACTCACACAAGTAGCCCCGACTGAATGACATAAAATTATACTAGTATATCATGCGTGTTAAGGAATAAGTTCTCATGTAATGTCCCGTTGTCACTCGTAGGTTGATAATCACTCATTGTATGTCACTAACGTATCCATTTAAAAAAAATTAAACCTGGGTTTGCGACTTGACGAATCAATGGATTCAGTACAGGGCTGCCACAACACCCCTATACATATGCGAAAGGCGGATTTTAAATACATGATCAGAAATAATTTTTTGTGATTATCGTCTAAACACTGAGGGATCTTCATCTCGCACTATGGTAAATACCGTTCTGGTATCATCATCTAGTACAGTCGCAGTTGAAAAGAATCTTCATGAGATAATATAAAGTTACTGTGATTTAAAAGCGTTGTCGTTCAAAATCCTCAACTACGCCGTTGGCATGGCATTTGTAAGTCCGAGTCTTTGTTTTGTTTCATTCACTTCTATTTATCAATTATGTATTACAACTGGATGCTGCCAATTTAAGCATGTTTCTGTATTCTCATCACTGTTGTATTATTCCCTTACTGTCAGACTTCCTTAATAAACTGTGCAACTGTGTCATACTTCATGATTGGTTTTGTGTATACATATAACTAAAATGAGTCAAATACTTAGTGGATAGCACGTGGATGTCAACAATGTTATTCGAAGTCTATAACCATGTAAATGTCAGCGAGTACGTGATTACACATCAATAACATCACGTGGAGCGTTGCCACCAGGAAACACACCACGTGCAGAAACTCGCTGTGACCCATCCAGGTGTACAATAGCTTTGCGTGTTTTGTACACGGAGGACGACATTGAAATAAGTCGACACATAATATTAGTTATGGTGTCTTTAGTTGCCGTATACGGTGTCATATTAGGTTAGCAGAAACATATGTTTGCTGCTAACCTAATATGACTCTGGCTGACGCCTCGCCCAATCTTTTTCTGCTTACTTAATATGACACTGGCTGACGCCTCGCCCAATATTTGTCTGCTAACCTAATATGACACCGGCTGACGGCTCGTCCAATATTTTTCTGCTAACCTAATATGACACCGTATACGGCAACTAAAGACTCCATAACGAATTTATTATGCCGAAAAGTTTTACACTATTTGGTATCTTTGCCGCACATGTCATGTCAAAACTTAAAACTCAAAACTTTACACTTACAACCTAAGACATTGAGGCTCAAAGGGAGACTACTCTTCAAAGCTCAGAGGCGAAACCTTGTTGATAATTGTAACTTCATATAGTCTTATTAAAGTCACGAAAGTGATCCAAAAAACATGAACGTCCTTGCACATCACAAGTAATGATATTAAAACACAAAACAGTGTCGAATAACGAATTTCTGTACTAGAATTGTCTATGAGGTGGGTGTTGAAAAATCCAAGATGGCTGTTACTGACGGTATATGGTTTAGGTCAATATCAACCATCTTGGATTTTACTGACGGTATACGGTTGGTTGGTTCGTTTGTTGTTTAACGCCGCACTCAGCAATATTCCAGCTATATGACGGCGGAGTCTGGACCAGACAATCCAGTGATTAATATCATGAGCATCGATCCACGCAATTGGGATCGATGACATGCATCAACCAAATCAGCGAGCCTGACCACCCGCTCCCGTTAGTCGCCTTTTACGACAAGCAAAGTCACCTTTTACGGCAAACATGGGTTGCTGAAGACCTATTCTACCCCGGAATCTTCACGGATCGACAGTATACGGGCTCATGTGGGGTCAGTGGTTCTGCTCTCTGATTAGTCAATCTCACTTTGAGGCATAATAATGCACAATATAACCATACACTGCAACTGTAGACCAAGTCAGGACGATGTACCCACACTCATTATATTACCTGCAGGCCACATATTACATGAATGTGCGAACATTTGTTTCACCGGAAACGGGGGACCACCAGAAATGGGCTTCACACATTGCGCCCATGTGGGGATGGTACCCGTGTCTAAGGCTACATGACCCAAATGTATATTTGGTCACTCAGAAATATTCCAGCTAAATGACTTTGGTTTGTATCACATCGAGTCTGAACCAGACAATCCAGTAACTGTCATCGTTCCTTGCAATTGGGATACGATGAAATTTACAAAACGCTTCCTTAATCATAAGAAATCTGTTCCTAGTATATTTTGGGATGTTTTTTATAACCTCTATCAATTAGTAACCATGCCAGGTGTTCGCGAAAGAAGGAGCGTATCTTGCCCCATCAGTGGCCACAGTCGCAAACACATGCAAAGGCACCAATACAGCGCGTCTGTTGGGCAACCAACTATTTCCAAAGCTGAGATATAACGTGTCTGATTGCAGATGTATAGGATTAAGATGTAACGGATGCATACGTATCTTTAAGGCTTCAATACAAGTTAATTAGTCTTCATCAAGCCTTTATGTGGTCATACAGAGGTGGTGAGGTGAAATTGGGTTTAACGTCGCGTCCAAGATTATTGCACTTATATAGCGACGTGCATGCACGTGTATGTGTGTGTGGCTGCTTGTACTAGTCCGGACTGATGCCGATTTATAGTGCTAGCTCACTGAGATACCATGCCGCAGTTTAACATGAATACCCCACTCAGACACAGTATACTGACTCCGAGCCGACCAGTCCTTGTTTTAGCCCCTTAATGCCGAGCGCCAGACAGGGTAACAACAAGTACAATCTTTTAACATCTTTTTGTATGACGCGGCCCGGGATCGAACCCTGGACCTTCCGCTCTCCGGGCGGACGCTCTACCACAAGACCACGGAGGCGGTCTGGTCATACAGAAGCAGAGTTGCAACTACATGTGTATTTGTGGCCGACTTATATGAATATATGGCATAAACGAGACATTGCTATTGGGTTAAATCTTCAGAAAGTGTATATTGCTTATTTGCCATTTTCATCTTGCACACCCGTACCCTATTGTTTAGTATGAATACAGGGCAGGTAGCGATATCAGATAACCTACAAAGATATCTTTTCCTTTTCTAATGAAATACTTGTAGTCTCAAGACATGCTTTGGAAAATTTGAATTGACAACGTTTTGCACCTCTATTTTCGAAACGCAGTGGGTGTATATGTGAATCTCTTACGTACGATTATTCAATGTTTCATGATATGTATTTACACAAACCAGTTATCAGACAGAATAATGTGCTTTATCATAAAATTAATGGGTAGGCTTCTCGGCAGGATAAAGCCAACGGATAAAAACGATATCTGTTGTGGTCATATGCGGATAGAGATGCAATTATCAAAGGTCAAGTAGAGACTACTTTCAGTGTTTATAAACAAACATGGCGTCGGCCTTGTCATTTGGCGATCGAGTCAGTATTAACCATCGGGAATCTGGATAAACTAAAGGGATAATTGCTATCATTATCAAAAAACAGTCTGATATACCGAAAATCAGTGTCTAACTGTGACGTAGCTAAGGCAGTTTATATGTTTTGGCAACACTGGAGATATAAGTTTCGAAACAATGTAGCGAGGGCACTAGGCCTAGCCAAGCGGGATCAGTAGCCATATTTGTGCTTGTAGACCTCTGCGGTTTGAAACCTTTTCCACAAATTAATATAGTTGGATTTGGCCGAAGTATGTTTGAATTGATACCTTGTTTCGTTTTGTCGCTGTGTGTACATCTGACTGCACTTCTTAAAGTTATGACAGGACAGGCCGACTGTCAACAACGTCTGACGTCTCATAGACTAGGTTTAGAGTAGCTTCCCTTTGACAAAGGGCAGTTACTCAAGCGAACGGACCAATTGATTGCCGCGAAAGGCAAGTAAAACAATTGCTGTTTTGCGTATATGTTGCTTCGCCACTGCATAAGAAACAGATTTCATTTGGAACTATATTGGCTACTGTCACTGTCCAACTTACACATCACTTACCCTTTGACGTAATAAATATTAATGCGCGCATTTTAAGAAAACATGCAATGTTAAGGTAATGTTTGTGAGAGAGAGAAAGCGATTTTCAAGCACAGAATTAAAGAATGACATTATATGATAAGATGTTATCACGCTTGTGTGTTTGGGGATGGTAAATATCCTGTAATAGGAATAAACAATATTTATTTAGCTCGCCAAGGTTCGCCTAAATACAATGTTTATTCCTAATGCAGGATATTTACCACACTCGCGTGATAACCTCTATATCTCCTCTGTATTTCTGACACTGATCTACACGTACCATACCCATGGTGATACAAAGAGCCTGACATGTCCCTTCCCCCCACCCACCCCTTGAATTATGTCCTCGTACACTCTCTTATCAATAGGCTTTATCAGAAAGCTCTGTACAGTAATTCAGTTCATTGCGGCCTTAAATTATATCCATTCATCCACACTGTGTGCTATAAATGCATGAATATTTAACTCTTCCTTGAAAATTACAACGTTTATGCAAGGGGACAATATTTCCTGCCCGATCAGAAGGAGGAAACCATATGCATAACCGATAACACTCTTTTAAAGTTGTCGCCACGCCTGAGGAAAAGAGACTAAATGTTGAATTAATGCTGTCAGTTTTATATTGCTCTATTTTAATTTGTGTATCCATAATGCCCCTCATATTCATACATCAGTAAATGAATAACTATGTGTTCAATGTTTCATTTATTACATTATTTCACATGTCTCTCCAGCACCTGTCGCGGAGTTCACATTAATGCAGTTTAGGAGAAAGGGCAAACAAAACACACTTCCCCCTGTGTAATGCTGCGCCACCCGTACTAAACGACCCCCGAACCATGTTCCAGAAACTATATTATGAGTATTTGTCTGTCTGAAGGTAATAACATTATAGGCAAAGATAAACTGAGTCCACGCATCGACTGGATCGTGGGTCAATGGGAAACTGCATTGTCACGTGTTCAGTGTGGTGCAATGACGTCGTTAACGTACAAAGGACACAGACTAGTGTTTAAACCGGATTTTGACATACTCCAATATACTAAAGGAAAGTAAAAGAAACTGCGCTTCATGTACAGTTCCAATAAAAATAGTCTAAAATGAAATAATGCATCTTACAAAACATATTCATGAAGACATCTCCTCGACTTTAATGTCGTGATTCACATTTTGCACGTGCATGTTCGTGCATGGCGTAGAATTTGGGTGTCAGCTTGTTGGGAGCACGCTACTTTCACACGTGTTTTTTTAAATGTGAACAGCGCACAATGACCGTTTAGCTATCAGGTGCTCACAAATGCCTCTGACAATTAACATCTATCCGCCGTGGATATGTTTAAAAAAAGAAAGTTGTCAGATATTTTACTGTTCATCGAAACACAATTTCATCTCTGAAGAGGGGCGGTCGGGTAGCCTAGTGGTTAAAGCGTTGGCTCGTCACGTCGAAGACCCGGGTTCGGTTCCCGACATGGGTACAATGTGTGAAGCCCATTTATGGTGTCCCCCGCCGTGATATTGCTGGAATATTGCTAAAAGCGGCGTAAAACCATACTCACTCATCTCTGAAGACTTCTCCAGCAAGGCAACACTCATGACTTGAGTGCATGTATGACCGGTCGTCCACGTATGGCGTCACGACAAA